TCACAAAGCTTGTAGTTTTGAGATCATTTGTGCTGGAGAATGTAGAGTTTTGCCTTTCTAAGCACTATCAGTAGTTTTTCCCAGAAGCCACAATGATCTTTTCAGTCATGTAAAGTTGTTTTGAGAAGTTCTGGATAGTATAAGCTGTTTTACAGTTATTCGTACTAACTTGCTTCTGCTTCAAAGTCCAATGTAAATAAATTATAATTAAATTTCATATTTATCATTGGTATTGTTCAGCAACTTCAATGAAATTTTAATGTATTGTAAATGGTTTTTCATATGTGATTAGTGGTGCATGTAAGGAGAAATACCTTCAAGTTTGCACTGTGCTAGAAAAATTTAACACGTGCCAGAATACCAAATCTGTTTGTTAACTGTAGAATTACTTAACCAGTTTCAGTACTGAATATAGAATGGACGAATTCTGTATGGATTCTTTATGGAAACCTGCCTGTTTATATTCTTTTTAGTATTTCTCTTTTCCTTCCTAATAAATATTTTAAATAGTAACAGTGTGCATGTCATATTCCAATGGTTAAAGTTTATGAAAAGTATGCATATGTACTGGGAATTATTTTTACAATCCTTATATTATGAAATAAATGACATGTTGATAAGAGAAAAGGTATGCAGGTAATCCCAGGAGTAAGCACAATAAATAATACTTGATCTGCAGGGATTTATTCTAATAATTTTGGAAGCATGAACACATAGGACTGATGTCATGCTGTTGTAGCCAAGTGATGGCAAAAATAGGACAAAAAGGAAGACAAGAAAAACTGTAGGAGCTTCATAGGAAAGGAACAGTCCTCAAGCCCTCATCTCTTCTGTGTATGCCTTTGTTCTGATCCATGGTGACCATTTTTGTGTACTTTGTAGTACTGCTCCAGTGAAAAGAGTTACTTATAGTCTCACTGTCTATGGGGAAGAGCAGTGTACAGTAGCAGTAAGAGGAATGAAGGAGTCTTGCAACCTTTCTCAAGTTTAAATTCCTGGCTAACAACATGCTTTATAATACTGTGTCAATTAATGGACGTCTTTGTCAAACTGAAAAGTAAATAATTACACATGTAGAACTGCTCTAGTCCGTTATTGAAGTGAACAGTTACTAGAAACACAGCAAATACTTAATTATAAACATCATCTATGCTAGAAAATTAAACCTATCAAATTACATTATGAGGTATTTTCTTTCTCTCAGATCCTTCAGATCAAGGCTTTGTTTTCGTGCAGAGATGCTTGAGTCCTAGAACTTGTTTTAAATACAGGAGGAACTGACCAAAATTCTGTGACTTGCCCATTGAAATTTAAACTAATGGCAGTTTTGCATCTTGGACATTGAGATGCTTAAGTTAGCTCCACAGAAGGAAATATGTCTGTAAATGTTGTAGCCATTCACTGACTGAAATGCCAGGCAGCACTAGCTTAGGTGTGGTGCCACAGAAGTACATATGTACAGCTTTTGGACTTGGTGTGTCTTGATGTGATGGTGACTGTATGAATTTGCAAGCACGTATCTGCAGTCTACATAGAGTCTCTGCAATGTGCTACGCACTGTGGGTATTCTCTCCATAAGCTGGTCATCTTTATTGGCCTTAAAATCAGTGCATTTACATGTGAATGACTGGAAACTCAAGAGAAAGAATGAGGCGAGACTTTTCTGCACTGGTGAAATCAACACTGGTCATGAGAAAATTTAGATCATAAGCAAGGTTTTTGATGGGTGGTGATATAACTAATTTCAAGATCGGGCACCAAGATGGGAGAGAGAAAGTTTTTAACTGAAGCAAGAGCTTTTTTGAGCAAGAGATGGTGATAAATTGAATGTTAAACTTAAGGACTTCTTATTCATTTAAATGAGAGAAATTTGAATCTGTTTGAAAGAGAAAATACAAAGAAATAGGTAGAAAGTGCAGGGCACTATATCTAATCCAAAGTTTAAGGAGACAACTGTGCTGTCTTTTTTTCTTTCTTTTTTCCTGTTATTTCTGTGCAGCAGGAAAACATAATTAATAGTTTTTTTCTGGAATTTCAGTGAAATCTGAACAGGTTAGACTCACAGTTGTGGGCTTTTAAAGTAAAAATGTGACTAGAGGAACTGACTGTAATGACAATTTCTCCTTGTCTGCCTTGATACTAGAAAAGGATTGATAAATTCTCTTTAGGATAGTAATTGTTTAAAATACTAAGATATTTATTGGTTGGGTTTTTTCCCTGGAATTCTGTAGTTTTGTTCTGTGTCTTTAAAATTTGATAGTAATTTTACAGTACTGTTTTCAGAAACAGATAGTATTTTGTATCCATCAGCATAATTCCAGTGACTGGAATGGAGTGACAGTGATTTACATAACCTGTTGACTTGGTCCCATCTTGTCTCAAAAGCTTATCATCAGTTAAACAATAGGAGAGGAGAAAGATACACAAGAATGATTTAGTAACATTTTCCCTGGTTGAAATGTTATATAATAATTTTCCTTGTAAAGCATTAGTAAAGCCAAATACCAGGTACCTGTCCTAGAGGGATTCCCGTTCGAAGTCACAGCAAATTCGGCGCCGTGCAAAGCCAGTGGAGAATCTAGCTGGACTTCTGGCAGCAGCAAAGTGAACAGGAGTGGCCTTTTGTCCTCAGTTAATCAGTGTTGTGCTTCTCTTTTTTAGATACTTAAAATGTCAATTAGCATGTTTTGTGGAATAGAGTTTTCTAGGCCAGAGAGAAAGAAATAAGGTTAATATTAGATACTTTGCCATTGTTTTAGAAGATCTAAGTAGTACAATTTACACTTTCAAAATGCATTGAAACCCAAACTTACTGCCTATTATTCTTTACTATAACTAAAACTTGATAGAAAATTATTTGTCTGCCTAAGGTACACTGATGGAATATAAGTAATAAGCATTTAATTATCTCTCAGTTTATTTGAGAATAGTGTGTACTGGTTTCTTTAACTTTTTGTAGGCTATCATGTGACATTTTTTTCCCTATTAACTGGAGTATTATTGAACTGTAGCAAAATGAGAACAGAGGAAGGATTTATTTTCAACCCGTTGGAGTTTGGCAGGTTTTATTTTGTCTGAAGATAAATGCTTTTAAAAAAAAAAGGCAACCAAAAAAAAAACCAAACCCATAAAATCTCTCCTCTTTTATACTGACAATTATTTCTGGATATATTTTTAAAAATTTATACAATGTTTAGGTCTAACATTGCCCAAGACCATTTTTAGACTGAACTTCTCTCAAGTATTCTCTGAAAATGTAACTGTTTAAAGTCAAGATATATTTTTAGATTATAAAATACAGAAGATGGCACCTCTTTAAAATATTGTTTCTGATGCATATCTGTGTTACTGAAGCAAATCATTTTAAGATTTAAAATTCTTTTTACTACTGCAATTCACATTTTTTCAAAATGTAAGTCAGACTTAATAGTTCATTTCTGATTGGGTGTGAGACATCAAGTGTGTTCTTTGCTCAAGCTTATTTGACGTGTTCATATAACCAGATAGGTAGGCTGTAAATTACCAGACTTAAGGAGATCAAGTGCCTTCCTCTAAAGGAGTAGATTAAAAAAAGGAATGTGATTTTAAGCAAGACAAGAGCTAAGGCAAAAAGGGAAGTGGAAGGAATGAGTAAAGAAAGGAGAAATAAAGACAGGACTTCTGGCTTTGCCCCTTCTTCAGGTAATCCTTGGATAAGTTTGCATGATGTGGCTTGCAGGCAGGAACAAATTTATTCTACCTGCGATTTGGAAGAGGCTGTATATAAGTTTTCTCTTAATTGGAAGTTACATAGAAGTGCTAAGCCTGCAGAACATACCCCTGAGCATTAATCTAAGCTGGTAGTACTTTTGGAAATGTTATGGACAGTTTTATGACCACCGACAATATTTTAAACTTTTTTATTCAGCATATTGCTCAGATATGATTTGATGATAAGTAATAAGCTTCCCGCCAACAGTCACCAAAACAGACCATTCCTTCCCAGTATAAAACTCATGAAACATAAATTCACCCAAAACTTTTTCAAAGAATGAAGTTTCTTTGCTAGAATAAGGGTAGCAGTCTAAATAGTTGATCTGACTGATTTCTGCAGATGGATATTTTATTGTGTAATATGTGACTGTACTTCATGTAACACAGCTGACTGAGCTCCATGCAGACATTGTGTTGCTCTGCTAGCCCACAGCAGACTATGAAAGATAAAGTGATATAATCATACCCAGACTAAACAAATTTTCTGCTTATGTCAGATTTTTATCACAGTTTGAAAACTACTTTAAAATGTCATTTAAAAAAATGAATGCAAATGAAGTTAAACACTTCTGTAGTATCATGAGTTCTCCAGTATTGCAAGTCAATAAATTTATGTGACAGATTTATTAAGTTTTCTTAGTCGAGCCTGGTAATTGATG